GTTGTTGGGTACATGTTTGCACATTTTTTCCTCCATTTTTTTGGGCCATTTTTTTTTTTGTACTTTTTGGGAATTGTTCCAAAATTTTCCCAATTTGAATGCAATTCTCCGCGTTTCCCATTTTTGCAATTTCCGAGCTATGCGACGAAGCGAGTCGACATTTTAAAAAATGGGCGACGAGCCAATGCGACCTCTTCCCGAGGAAAGGCAAAAAAGTGCCCCTAACCATTCGCCTTTTCTCCTCCAAAAAGGCTCTTCCCCAAATACACTCATAAAAAAAAAAATCCCAAGAACGAGCCACATGCGCACAAATTGCAAGCCATTGTCACATAATAAGCAGCATGATAATTTTTCCAAGTGGTCATTTTTACAATTAAAAAAAACTCAGTGTTCCCCATTTAGGTGAACAACATTAGCACAACAAAGGTTAACAAAAGGAATCCTTCTTTGGTGAAAAAAAAAAAAAAAAAAAAAAAAAAAAAATGCAACAAAAATTAACTACGCTTATTTCTGTGCCATTCGGGTTAGACAAAACAATCCTGTTAATGTGTGTCAAAATGGGCATGTACTTACGGCTGGATGATGATGCATATAAATTGTGGGCGGTCTGGCCTACTTCGCCTTAACGGTACAGCACAGGTGAATTCACAGCCAGGGGGCTACGGATGTGCTTTTCCACCTTCGGGGTATAGTGCCCCAGGGGGAAAGGCACATACGGAGGGGGAACGGGGGGGCAGGAAAGTCAGCAGCAGAAGGGTAATAAATGGCTGTAAGCTGCGTATCAAGGTGACCCACACTTACACCTGGCCTGCTGCCCGTTCCCCAGACTAAGGGAAAAAACAAATGTGGGAATAGGCCCCTGAAGCAAATAATTTGCTAAATGCAAAAAGCAATTATTTTTTTTTTTTGTTTATTCCATTTTGAGAATATCGCGAAAATGTCAATTTTTTTTTTTTTTTTTTTTCCTTTTTGTTTTTTCTCTATTATATATACTTTACCACTTTGGCGAAACAAATACAGATCGGCCGAAGGTTACGGCCATTTTGTTTTGTTCGTAGAGCTTAAGGAAGGGGGAGCAACTAACGAAGCTCTAAAAGAAGGGCGCTCAAAGTGGCACAGCAGGGTAAAGCAGGGAAAATCATTAAGGCATAACAAAACATAACAAAAAAAAAAAAAAAAAAAAAGGTATTAAATCTGAATGTCCATTTCGTTTGCATGTTTTTTTTGTATTTTCCATTTATACCCCCTTTTTTTGAGGCAGACATTTGCCCATATAAATTCACATCGCGAAAAATTGCGCAGGTGCTTGTGCGCCCGTATGTCACAAAAAAAAAATGACGGGTCGCAAAATGGGGGGGAAAAAAAAAATCCCATTCTGCGCAGCGAGAACTTCATTTCCCCTGCAGTCGATTTTTCATCATGGTGTTTTTTCCGCTAAAGTCCCCCTGTTCTTGGTAATGATCTTTTTCGAAATATCGCCCAAGCAGTTGTTGGGTACATGTTTGCACATTTTTTCCTCCATTTTTTTGGGCCATTTTTTTTTTTGTACTTTTTGGGAATTGTTCCAAAATTTTCCCAATTTGAATGCAATTCTCCGCGTTTCCCATTTTTGCAATTTCCGAGCTATGCGACGAAGCGAGTCGACATTTTAAAAAATGGGCGACGAGCCAATGCGACCTCTTCCCGAGGAAAGGCAAAAAAGTGCCCCTAACCATTCGCCTTTTCTCCTCCAAAAAGGCTCTTCCCCAAATACACTCATAAAAAAAAAAATCCCAAGAACGAGCCACATGCGCACAAATTGCAAGCCATTGTCACATAATAAGCAGCATGATAATTTTTCCAAGTGGTCATTTTTACAATTAAAAAAAACTCAGTGTTCCCCATTTAGGTGAACAACATTAGCACAACAAAGGTTAACAAAAGGAATCCTTCTTTGGTGAAAAAAAAAAAAAAACAAAACAAAACATGGGCATATGCGCACTCTATGACTGTACAATTGCTTGGTTTTTCCCCCTCCCCCTCTGCATCACAAACGTGTACGCGTACACATTCGCTAAATAATTGCTCCCGTTGCAGAGTCCACTGGGCCTGAAGAAGCAGTACGGGATATGTTCAAAGGGCAAGCGTGAGGGGAGACATAAAATTGGCATGCATGCGCACATGTGTATGTTGCTCTGAAGGGGTTACCCCCAATGCGTCTTTCTCCGTCCTTACCGCTGGCCCATTTTTCCGGTCGCTCAGTCGAATGACCAACGGGAAGTCGCGTATAAATCTGAGAAGGCGGTATGTGGACAGGGAAGTTACTCATGGGGGAACATGAATATACAGTTGCATTCGCAGCGGTATACTTTACACGCACACACACATATATATATATATATGCATTTGTGCGCATGTGCGTTTAAGCACTTTTGTGGTGTATCCCTCACCCCTGAGTTCTGGATCTCCCCTTCGCACGGCCAATCAATGGCACAAAAATTTAAAAAGTAATTTTTCTGACTGTCCGACACGTTTTCAAATTTATAATATCCTTTACATATTTTGCTCTTGTAGCTAACTGGGGCTTTGCAGTAACCCCTTTTGCTGGAAGGCACCCAACCAAGGGGACACGCGAAGGAGTAATTGCGCAGGCAGTGGTCCCTCTCTGCACGGTGACGAAATAGGTGCAGAAGAGAATGATAATATATTTACATGCGTACAGTGCACACTGTTTTTTCACAACCCTGTTACCTGGTCAAATGGGACAAGTAGCATATGGGGCTTTCCTCATGTTGATAACCCCGTATATAAAATTTGTTCATATTATTATTTCATTTTTGTTGCGTCCTCTATGGAGGAATTACCTTTGAAGGGGAAATCCACCTGACACGCGATGGAGTAGGAGTCCTTCTGCTGCGAATTCATTGTAGCAAATGAGACTTCGTCGTTGCACTTTGCACTTTTCTGGTAATTTTCTGGGGCCAGGCAAAGTCCATTGTCTATGGGGGACCATCCACTGGGCAGTGCGCCGCGTTCCGTGAGAAAGGGGAAAAAATGGGACAAAATGTATAACTGTGCATATCTCGTTGTTGCAGTGGCACAAGGGAGAGACCCTAATGTTCGACCTGGCGATGTCTCTTTCACACTGACTCGCTTCATCGCTGGCCGCATTTATCGTCCCATCGCTCTATCCTTACATGGGGCACGGGGCGGAGTAATCTCTTTGGTACTGATTTACAACAACGGTGTAGGGCCAATTGACGAGGCAGACATTTTCGATGCTCCTTTTCCCCTCCTCAGATTTGTACTTTTTCAAATTTGCAATTTTGGGACAGGGCCCATCATAATCGCTCGGCGCTTTGCATCTGTGTTCTCCAATTTTGTGCCAATTGAAGGGGCATGCATCATCAAAGTTCGTTTTGAATGTGACAGATTTGCACCTCCACCTGATGCCGTGCTTTGCTTCCATTTTCTTCTTCTCCGCAATGGAGAGGTTGGAAAAATTTATGCTTCCCTCATATGTGTCATTTGTATTTTCGCTTGTGCAGGTTCCTTTTCCTACGTCAGTCCAGTTTATTGGACACAGGGCATCGTAGTCGGTCCCATAGGGGCATGTCTTCGGTAGGCAGGGCCAGGTGGCGTCACAAATCTCTCCCCAGCTCTCCTTCTGGTGGTCATACAAGTGAACCAGCTTGTCTTGCACCTGGGTGGGGAGACGCGGTGAAGATGACTCATCTGCGGAAAGCACAGTCATTGTTGCAGCGCCATGGGGAGAGACGCACCTTGCGACATGGACCTTCATACGAACTCAATGGGACGCATCCGGAACTCGTTCGGAAGAAGTGAAGCGGGCAGGGCAGCGAAAAATCTTGGAGACACATCTGGCAAGTGGAAAGTGGACAGTGAAAACGGGAAGGAAAAAGACCTCCTCCCGTCCCCCCCCAAAAAAGAAAATGATATTATAGGGAGAACACAAGTGGGCATTTGACAGGACACACAAAACGGAGGAGTAGAAAAAATCTTTTCTTAATTGCCCATTTCGTGTAAGTCGTACTTCGTCAGAGTCCTCCATCGCCTCGAAGTGGGGTAAAAAAAAGAAAAAAAAAGTTAAACATTACCCAGAAAGGTATCAAAGGAGCTCAGCTCAGTAGTGGGAACGCTTCATAAAACCAGGGGACGTAAAAAGGCAACGTCTATTTGAAGCACCCATTTCTCCATTTTACCTGTTCAATTTTTTCCAACTCTCCAGAATCAAACTTTTTATAAAGCGTATCCTGACTCATGGAGTTGATGACCTCCGCTTGGTACTTCCTCACATTGGTTTCGTCCTCTTCCGTTTCTCCATCCTCCTGAAGGGGAAAAAGTTGTTTGACGTGGAAAGTGGGTAATGGTGAGGTAAGTGCAGAATGAAGAGGAGGACGGGGGGGGAAATACTTCTCTTGCTATATTTAACAGTCATAAGGAAGAGATCCGTATCGCTTTATACGTGTATTACGTCCCCAACGCTTTTCTCCTCTCGTACCTTATTCTGAGCTACTGCAAAATTTTGAGCTGCTTCTTCCAAATCGTCGGACAAAAACTCACTGTCTTCTCTCGCCTCTTCTTCATCCTCCTGAACAAGCCTTACAGTAGTAACCCATGTGTGGTGTGTTTATTTAGCGAAAGGGGAAATGAAATTCAAACGCCATTTGTTCATGTCTACTTGACTCAGTCCGGATGTTGGTAAATCCCCCAAGCTGTACTTCTTCTTAATTGCCTCATTCGCTTTCTCCACTGAATCTATGTGGGGTTGATAGTGTGCGGGAATAGAAGGGGATGTAAAAAGGGGGCGTTTATAATGTGTGCTATACACTTTGGGGAGGTTCTCTCCACAGGTGTTTTTATTTTGTGTGGATGGTAGGTTAATTCTCCCCCCCGCGATTGTGATTCTGCCTATGCCATTTTGATAAGTATGATTCGGCATATTATTTATTTATATTATTATTATTTTTTTTTTTTTCTGTGATTGCTATGAGTTACATGCAATGATGTGTCTTTGTCTTCCGTTTGATTTTCTCCTTCGTGGAGAAACATTTTCGGAGACGGAGACACCTTGTCATTCAATTTCGACCCCAAGCGTACAAAACCCATTTTGTGCCCCCTTCAAGGAATTAGAAGATACAGAGCAAACTTTTTTTTTTTACAGGGGAAACAATTCATACCTATTACGCTTTCGTTGGATACATCCATCCTTTTGTTTTTCTCCTTCGTGACAGATTCATAATTTTGAAAATGGTCCCCTTTGTCCTTTCCACTGGACGATTGACTTGCTATGTTGCCTTCCCCATTTGGGTCACTCAAACGGACGTCCCCCGAAAATGTAAAGGGGACTCTTTTGCCGGTAAGCGGGGCATACGCATGTGAATATTTTTGCACCCCTATGGAAAAGAGGCAACTCAAAAGGACAAGCAAATTCATTTCGAGGAAGTGACACAGATGGGATGACCGAATGGTTGCAAGACAGACGGGACAGGTTCAATTTCCACACACAAAAAAAAGAACAAATAAGCGGTTCAACTGATTAGAGAATGTGGAACTATTTTGTCCCTTTCCCTGTTCAACTTTACAAGACAGTTGCTTTTTTTTTTTTTTTTTATGCAAAAGCGCGATGAGTGTATACCTCTGCAGCTGCTTCCGCTACTGCCAATGTTTTGCTTCTTCTCATTACATTTTTTTTTTTAATAAATTAACATTTTCGCAGAGAGAAAGGAGGTAGAAAATGTACACTTCCGTGAAGGGGTACATGCAGGTGGCACCCCCCACATGTGCCTGAGCTACACCGTCTTAACACCCTGTCCACATGTAGATACACCATCCCGCGGGGGGGTTTGAAAAAAAAAAAAAAAAAAAAAAAAAAAAACGTTCGATTGTCGCACAACATGTTTACACAAAAACAGATTTTTAATTTTACTTTTTTTTTATAGTTTACAATTTGTCCATTTTAAAAAAGTCAAAAAAGGGAGCTGCACTCGTGTGGGGGATAAATGTGTACATACGGTTATGCAGCCGATCGGTTAGAGCAGATACGTTGCATTCGACGCGGACGGGAGGATGTTCCCAACAGGCGTGTCACAAAAAAAAAAAATAAAAATAATATAAGGAACAAAAACAGGTGATGCAAAAGGCGCGTACAGGTGAACAAAACAAGCTGCACGACCTGTGGATCGCTTTATGGCTCGGCGAACCAAGGATGGTTGAGGGCCTCCTCGGCGGTAATACGCGTGGCGTAGTCAAAGGTGAGCAGGCGCCGGAGGAGGTTTCTGGCGTTGGCGTTTGGGAGCCCTACGCCTGAAGGGTCTCTCTCTTGCAAGATCCTCTGAAACTGCTCGTCATCACAGGGAGGGGAAAGCAGTGCGTGCGCTCGAGAGTGTTGGTACATCATTTGGTTCATCTTGGCATTATTGTCGCAGTCCACACACGTGTGCCCCTCTTGGAGGTGCAAATTCGTGCCCATAATATTCTTGTAAAAAGCTTCCCCGGAGTGGCCACTTAAACTAGGAGGGGATGCCAAACCAGGGTCGTACAAGTGCAGACATTTGGTATCTGCACAAAGGGGAGAGGAATCCGGAAAAAAGGGCACGAGAGAGTTATACGTGTTCGCAAGGTATCTACTCCGCCAGTTGTTCAAGATGTGATTCTTTAAATGAACCAAATTGAAAGTGAGAAAATAATAGAGTGTATTCAAAATGAAGTTATTTTTAAAAATGGACGAATGGGGTAGTCTTTCTTCCCGTTTAAGAGAAATCAATTTGTTTGAAGATGGACTCCAGGGCATTAAACATAATTCAGACAGACTTTGTAAAAAAATTGCCTCCTTTAATGCATCCGGGGTTGCATACTTGGAGTAAAAATTATGAAGCTTCATTGCATTTCTTTTATTTTTAACCTCTAAAGGATTTTTAGTACCCAAGACAAACTGCAGAAATACAATGCCTATTCCCCACATATCGTAATAAGGCCGGCGCTTAAAATTTCTTTTCATATGACCAAATAAAGATTCGGGTGGCTGGTACCCTTCTGTCTCTTCATTCTCTGAAACAGGAAATAAAAAGTCCTCATTGTTATACTCTACTGCACTACCCCAGTCACCAATACGAACAGTGAATGGGGTACTTGCAGAAACGAAAATATTTTCCATTTTTATATCCCTATGAGTAATGCCCATTTTATGTGCATTGTTAACTCCTTTTAAAATTTGGTGCATTAAATCTTTCAGTACTAGCATGCCAATGCTCTGCTTCTTTATGCTCCACCACAACCTGCTTGGAGTTAACATCCCCCCCTTATCTTTGTCTACATGGAAGAGGTGATTGGACAATGAGTACCCTTCATTTGCAAAAACGAGCCATACATACTTGTGTTCCTCATTTCCATTTCCTCTTTCATATTCTGTAAAAAATTCAATAAAGCGACTTACATGTTGACAATTCTTTAAAACCTCCCCAAAGTATATCTCTCTCTTTGCACTTGTCTCAGATGCTTGTTCATTTTGAAGAATTAAAATTTTTTTTAAAACTACATCTCTGAATGGGGATTCCTTGTTCATATTTATTGCATACCAAATTTCTCCAAATGCTCCTGATCCCATTTTTTCCTTAACGGTGTACTTTAGGTTCTTCGGCTCGTAGCGCTTTATGTCTCTCTTCAGGTCAGAGTCCGGTTTCTCTACATAGCCGAGGAATAACCTTTTTACAAAATCAATCATTTTGTATGTTCCCTTTAGCCATGCCATTGGTATGGAGAATTTCTCTTCGGTCTTCTCTCGACCTGTTCCAATTTCACCTCCCTCCATCCCCCTGGACTCAATATTTCCTATGTACGCTGTCTTCTCATGAACATGAACATGATCGTGAACATGATCGTGAACATGATCGTGATCGTGGTCATAATCATAGTATATCTGTACATCTGCTGGTTTCGACCCGTAAATCGCTTTTGTGTGTGCTTCGCCAAAATGGTCGCTTCTTAACCGCAACGCGTAAAGTGAGTGATCAGCATTTACCATGCAATTTGTACAAGTCTCGTCGCCTTTCATTCCATGCTCCAGTGCCGCACGAGGGATCATAAGGACATCCAACTCATGGTAGCTGCTCCTTCTCGTTTTGCGAAACACATCCTTTATCTTCTTCGTTAGCAGATACTTGTCGTTGAGGAGGTCCCGACACTTGCCGGATCCAGCGCGGACGGAGCCTTCACTTGAACAACGGCTATATGTCCCTCCTTCATGATTCCTTCCTGGGGACTTCACCCCCCATTCAAGCGAGTCCTTCTCCATCTCCCTCGCTTGGGCAAAGGTCACACCGAATGTCCCCCAATCACTCTTCCTCCCCAACGCCAAACGTGACAATCCACCCACAGAGGCTCTCACGCCCTTGAAGAACAAACGGACATGCTTGCAAATTTTTTTAACAACTGCGTAAACACTTGTACGCACATCCTGAGAGATCAACTCTACATTGGAAGGAAATCTCGAATGAGGTTCGAAACTTTTGTTCTGAATAGTCTTCCACACAGCTGCAATGTTCTCCAACAGGGGGAGGACGACGACAACGTTGTTTAAGACATTTGCAACATGTTCCTCACCTTCTTCCTCCACAACACCACCACATGGGGAGGAAGACTTCCGCCTTGGTACGGTGAGCCAATTTTTTAAAAACAAAAAGGGGAACAAATGTGCAGGGTTAAATTCAGTCCGCTCTATATGTTCGTCCCATTCGGAAGGAGTAGCCCTCCTTCTAAATATACTAAGAAGTGTAAGGTCATGAAGCAGATGCACAAGTTGGAAGTGGAACACGTTTATCACAATGATTACGCTACAAAGGATACAAGTATATATAACGTATGGAAATAATTTCATTTTTTTTTTTTTCTCTTTTTTTTTTTTTTTTTTTTGTTACCCCCTTGGGAAGGTGTAAACAAAAAAGTAGGAACAAATTCACATTTGGTTAGCGCTATTGTGGAATTCCCGCTGTGGGGCAAATTGCAAGTTACGTGCGAATGGGTGAAAATAAATAAACATAAAGACGACTGCTTACCCCCTATTAGTGACACACTTTCACCAAAAAAAATATGCTGTGATCCGCTCTCTCTGTAGGAAGGAGGCACTCTGGTCGGGCAGATTTATTTAAGTGCAATGTGCCCCCATTCCCAAGTGCATTGGAACCGCGGAAGGGCGGCACATAAATGCTAAGGCAATTTTTCATCCAGGAAAGTGCAGAACCGCAGGATCAAATTATACCTCGCATCCGTTACATATGTTTTTTTTTGGTTTTTTTTTTTCTCCGCCCAGTGGGGTTTATATATATATATATCATCGTGTCGGGGCGAATCTTGTGTATAACTTCACCTCAATGATATGCTTGCGGTTGGACCGTGGCAAGTGCATTTGTACTACCGCAAGGTGAGGTGGCTAAGATTAAATTGACCAACACATAAATGCACACGCACAAATGTGTGCATAACAATTGTACATATTTTATGCGCGTACTAGACGAGAGGTGAAGTCTTTAGGGGAAATTCCATGCGACGATATACAGAGAGCGCGCAGCCATGATACTCGGGGGAGGAAACCGTACTTCGTCCTGCAAGTTTTGAAGCCCCAGATTACCACCCTGACGGCGTCTCTCTCTCACAGCAAGAATGAGAACTTTTCACCATCCCATGTTAGACACTTTTTTTCTCAATTTAAAAAAAAAAAAAAAAAAATGTTCATGAAACTGTCTCGAAGCGGCGCTAGCTGGACATAAACGCTTCTACTTCACCAGGGCAGCTTCCTTTTTTTTTCTACGTGCGCGTATGAACGTATGGCTTGTAGCGCGCATAATTTAATACACACAGGGATAGGTTCTTTATTTTGCTTGTTACCCTCCTTGAGCGCATACGGACATAACACCTGATACGTGCCCCCCGTGTGGGGAGAACTTAGACCGGGGTTATCACAACCCCTTCATATTAGCACCGTGGTAAGGGTCCCCATAGGAGTGTACTTATGCACGTACCTATGCACTTCCCCACTAGGTGTCACCCCTGGGGGATCAATTTCTTTTTTTCTTGTCTGTGAATTGGGTAATAGGATGGGACAAGCCAGTGTCCATTTTTTTTTTTTTTTTTACAAGTGGGCAATTTCTTTGTACATAATCCCCTGCACATTATTTAGAGCACACAGTTAGCTAGTCACTACAGTACATGTTGATACTATAAAATGGTAAAAAAGATTTCCTGCATCCGTTTCGCTAGTATATTTTATTTCCACATTTTTCACACGGAAGCGTATGTACGTGCGTACTTGGCTTTTTTTTTTTTTTTTTTTTTTTTTTTTCCCAAACAGGAGGCGTACAAGTAGCTATCTTTTTATGCTTCGGAAATTAACCCATGGGAAATTTTTTTTTTTTATGTTACTTTTTGGAAGCAAAAATATGGGTATGAAAAAAAAGCCAAAAAAAGAGTTGAACCACGTCGAACTATTAGGGTTTGGCCAAATGAGGAAAAAAAAAAAAGGAAAAAAGAGAAGAGAATTGCGTCATAGAGAAAAATATGGATAAGTCATTACCACATTGCAGAAAAGTTCGTGGAGCAGAAATGTTGAGATTTTTCTACTCGTGTTTGAGAATGTGATGGGTGGGGAACATAGCTGCTGCATACGCAACATATTTACATTTGTATTATACCTATTCTTCCCCCAAACCCTTTTGTGGCTCTCATTATTCCCCTTGCAGTGCGTATGGTGGAGGCTGTTACGAAGTGCCTTATAGTATTTTTTTTTATACCGCACTGGAACAAAATGAGCCTCATCTCCAGTTGTCGCACGCACTTGTAGCCCCGGTGACCGAAATGAAGCAGACTGTTAGGTCGCATACTTTTTTTGAAAGCAGCGTAGCTCAGAGGAAGAGTGGGGGGCTCATAACCCCCAGGACCGTGGATCGAAACCACGCGCTGCTATAATGTCGTCATTAAAAAAATTAAATTCGTGACCTGCATATAATAATACATATATATAATATATGTTTGTTATATTACCATCTGTTTCAACACAAGGAGAAAATGTTCGAAAGAAAAGAAAAAAATTTGGCTATAAATAAAAATGGAACAAATGGAAAAAAAAATTGCGTAAAACAAAATGGAGAAGAATAAAATAATTTTACGTATTTTTTTTGTTCCAGTTGTTCCAATTATTATTATAAAAATTAATTCATATGTAGCAAATACTCTTCTTCGATCCTGCCCCTTCGCGTTTACCCTTCTGTGCTCGCCATTGTTACGGTGCATAAGGGTAAAACACGCCATATGTTTCACAATTCGCATTTAAAAAAAACAACAAAGAAAGAACTTTGTTGTATTTACCTCTCAATTAATGGGGACAAGATTTAAGCAACACAGATTTAACGAGGGAAAGTTGGAAAAGAAGCATTTTGTGTAGCGTGCCCCATTACGCGAAACATACTTTTACAAGTAGCCGCGCATAAATGGCGAATAAATAATAGTAAGCTTCATCAGGGAGTTTTTTTCATACTTTATCAATTTCGCATTTTTTTTTTTTTTTTTATTTTGCGAAGACGCTTTTTGCTATTCTTAAAAAAAAGTAAACGCGTCTGAACAATTACTTAAAAGTTGAACGAGGTATTTACGTGCAAATTCGTACCAGAACATTGTATACACGTTTAACTCACCTTGCGGGCGAAAAAGTACAGTTGCGCTTTTAACGGCTGTTATATTTAGTGAACGAAATGTGTAAAAGGTTTTCTTTTTTTTTCTTTCCCATTCGATAAACGAAATGGAGAACGCACAGGTTCCCATTTGAAAGGGCTTCTTGAAATGAATAAGTGGCGGACCTCTCGTTCTTCGCGAGCATGTCCAACCGAGAAAATTACGCCCTGCTGCATGAGTGTGTATGCAAGAATTTATATGCGCGCACTGTGCATGAACGTGATGAGGTCAACAATTTAAAAGAGCATGCTCTTATCAGTGTTTGGACTCATGTCACATTTTGCAAATATAATTTTTAATTTCCAATGCAAACATTCCGTACACGCTTTGAGAACACATTTTCCTTTCGGGGACATCCCGAAGTCAGAGCAGATCGATTTTCGACACACCCGCGGCGCTGAGCAGTTTTCGCACAAGGGTCACCATTTGTTAGCAAGCTGTTGAAATAATTTTTTTTTTTTTCATCTTCACACAATTTATACATCACTTTCCCCGTTTGGAAAAAAAAAAAAAAAAAAAAAGAAACGAACGAACGAACGAACGTGAGAATTTGATATACACATGTAGCTTGTGGGGGTGCATGCGCACACGGTGAATACGCTCAACTTGCGTAAATGTACCTGCCGGAATATTTCTAATCAGTGGGACATAAAAATTTAATTCGGTTTTGTCACCATTGATTAATTATCTCCTGCGTAAGAGGCACATATGCGCGATACGCCATAAAAACATGTCCTTGCACTTACTGCTCGGTTGTGTTCACAGAATTATTTCTCTCCGTGGACTGGCCTCTAATCGAGAGACAGATGGCAAAAGGGACAGAGCAGTTTTTCACCGCATAAATTGGTGTGACAAAAAATGGAATGTGCGCCAAGGAACACACTTGTTTAGGTTACCATAAAGACAAAATATTTCCTTCGAAATTCGTTAACTTTTTAAATCTACCTGGTCTTTCCAATGTATATATGCTGCCATTTGTCCTTTACCCATGTCAGCAACAAAAACAAAAAAACCACCCATCCAATTTCCCACGCATACTAGTTGTTACCTAATTTTATGCGCCAATCTTTGCGAAGGCAACACAGAAAGGGAGAGTAAAAATAAAAAACCAACGGCGTCACAATTATTCTCAACAGAGATAACCATTGCGTATACATTTACCTCTTCGCTGTTCAATCGAGCCTTTTTCTTTCTTTGTTTTTTTTTTTTTTTGCGCTCAAGTTGAGAAAAAAATGAACAAAATATTTAAACTTCGAGAATAAGCCGTACCCGGTTTACCCTTCTTATTACTATCAACCCAGACGCGCTTACAAAAATTAGAACAATTGAAAAATAATTTTTTTTGTTCCAGTTTTGTGAGGAGCGCTTCAATAGCAAGAAAGTACAGCTCCTACTTTAAAAGCATATTTATATTTTTGAAACAGTCAACCATTTAAAAAAAAAAAAAGAAAGAAAAAAAACATTTATATTTATATATTATAATAATTAATCAGTTTGTAGTTTAATAACATCTTTGTGCATACAACAAAATTATTTTTCTTTTCTTGCGTAGTGCAAAAATAGGGCTACTCCGGGAATTGAACCCGGGACCTCTCGCACCCAAAGCGAGAATCATACCACTAGACTAAGTAGCCATTAATATATAATTGTATCTGCAACGGGCATGAAGTGCTGCAACATAGTTACCACAAAATTTTATTTGTCCTCTTGGTTACTGTTCCATTTGACTCATCGAACTGTGCAAAACTCCATTTTTCAACATATGCACGAAACACTCCCCCAAAAAAAAAAAAAAAACAAAAAAACGTAGTGATGCGTTTTTCTCCATAACTACAATTTGTTCGCAGCTCCTTTCACAACTCCATGTGCGCGACGAGCATTCGTAACTTAAACAACTCAGTAAAAAAATTGTTACATTGTTGCATCAGGGCTAATGTTATTCCATTTGCCAAAACACTGCTTCCCATTTGTTATTAAAAGGAGTATACTCTTTTTTCATGAGCCATTTATCTCTTTATAACTTATTCTGTCAACTAATACATTTCACCATCATGTCTGTATGGTGGGTAAAGGGACAAATGAAGTTGCACTGGGAAAGGGTAGACCACGTGTGAATAATCAACAGAACGTTGGTTCGTGAAAAAACATGTTTTA